TATATGTATATATAAAAATTTATAAATAAAGTATAAATGATGCTCTAAAAGTTTTTCTTTCTGTGCATTCCAGGCCAAAATGAATATAAAAAAAAGGGCTCAGAACATTAAAAAAGTTGCACCAAGTACAAAGTAAGTGTTGCCATTACATGCATTAGTGTTAGTTGTAACGATTGGAAACCAAATGGGTTCATATCTGTTTGGTTTCTTGTATTTTACTGTTTTTGAGCTTTTTTAGCTGTTTTAATATTCATTAATTGTCTTTAAAACTGATCTTTCTTTATTTTTTTTCTCATAATAGAAAACATCGGAACACCACCACTAAGACAACTAAATCCATTACAGGTAAGGTTTTGGTTACCTTTTGTCTGATGATACCTCTATTATTGCCTTCCTTCTTTGTTCCCATTTCTTTGTTTTTATGTGAGTGTTTTTCATAGTAGTGACTGAAAGCAAGTTCAGAGAGCTACAAGAAAGTGTCTAATTTATACTTTCAAACGTCTTCTTTTCATGTGACCCTATCTATCTTTTTAAAAAAAAAAAAACCAGTAGCAATAAAAAAAAAACAAACCCTACCTTGACCTGTGCTTATACTCTGTAATTTTAAATGTTTGCCCCATCTGTTGAAGATAAGTGTGGCACTTTGGGCTTCATAAAATAAATGTAATTCTTCAAGTTGACTTTAAGCCTAATGTATAACATATTTAACATTCTCTTTCACAGTTAGTGCTAGGGCTTCCCGGTGTCTTATGTTCCCTGTACGTTCCAAATGCTTTTAAATTTCTGCCCTGGTCTTCTATTGATCCTGACAGAAATTATTTCAATTATTATTATTACTTGATCTGGCAGAAAAACTTGTATGTCATACTGTTAGAGTCATGCTGTCAAGCTGGTTTTTTTTCTTTTATAGTACTTCAACGAAAACAGGACAAACTGCAGTAAATACATCAAAGCCAATGAAACTTTACAAAAATTTGTTATTATTAACACATTGGAAATAACAGCCATATCATTTTTTGT